GAGGGGGGTGGGGGGAGCGGGCGGGGGGAGGCAGCATCTCTGAGGTGTCCCTGTCTGAGGGCGTAATCCCTGCGACAGCCACCATTTCCGTGCAGCTAACCCGGCCAGTCTTCCCACAGCCAGGGCCTTACACCCAGCACAGCCACTAGCCACACGGGGCCATTGACACTGTGATGCAGTTTTTAAAACTCAGTTCCTCATTCATGTCCACACTGCAAGTGCGCAGGAGCCTCGTGTAGCTGCCGTGGAAGGGCACGGACCCAGGACATGACATCACTATGGGAATCGTATTGTGCTGGCCTAGGCCCAACAGATGCCAGTGTCTTTACAGTGGATGTTTGTTTTTTTATAATCAGCAGGAGAGAGCGATCTCATACATGCTTCTCGCCCTCAAGGTTGAAGGCAGCTGGCTGAGGGAAGACTGTCTTTCTCACCGTCCTGTGGGGCTGGGAGGGAGGGCCTTCTGTCTGTCCATCTGCTGTTTACCAGCTTCCATGTTCTCCATGCTGGAGGTTAAGGTGATTCAGTGAAGGAAGCTTGCTTTGTCCCTAGCCATGGTCAGAGAGCCAGGTAAGAGAGACTGAGAGACTAAGGGGCAAGGGACAGGGGACAGTATTGATAATATCAGGGCAAGTTTTATCAGACCTCTGTCATCTGAATAGTGAGTGACACATAGGCCCCAGTTCCCTTTCCCTCCAATTACAAGCAGTGAGGTAGGCTAAGGAGCAGCTGGTGTGCCCCCGCCGTGAGCCTCACTAATTCTCTTTCTTAACTGGAATATAAAGCTACAAAGTTCTATTTGGCCTATGATTTACTGCCTCCTCCAGCTTTTCCTGTTTAGTTTAGGAAACCTTTCCTTCCTAGCCCCGAACCATCTGGAAAACCTTAGTTCTATCAGCAGCAAGAATGTCACTTTACCTCGGGAAGATCTGTGATGTAGAAATGCCGTAATAGATGACAGCTCAAGGACGTTTTAGCTTGGGCTCCAGAGCGGAGGTGGTGACAAAGAGGTGGCATCTGCAGTGTGTGTGCCATTGCTCTGTTTTACACCCACAGCCGCTCGTACAGCAGAGGGCACACTCCCTGGGCCCTTGGTTTGCTGGCCATTTGCCTCACTCTGACCCTTCAGAGCAGTAGCTTCATTGTTTGGGGCTTGTGGAACCTTTTAGGGTCTGACGGAAGCCATTAAGCCTAGAAAACCACACCTTGAGCCCCACCCAACCCTACAGAGGCCTAGGCCCACACCTGGTGCTGGGTTCTCTATGCAGAACCCAAACTCCTTAGCTGAGGTCTCTGTTCCAGTCAGTTCTGCCCCCCAAAGCCAGTATTATAGAGCAACAGGCTAAATATTGCAAACGTGGTTTCCACCTACACGGCCTTTGCCTCAGGGCCTTTCCGAAGGAGAAGGCTTGACCAAGGTCTCTGAGCACTTAGAGGTGATAAAAGGCTGAGGGAGGCAGAGGGGGGAGTCCTGACCCCTGAGCACCAAGCCCTGCACCTGACACACACGTGCTTCAGGGCTGGGCCGTGATCCTCCTCCAGTGGCTTTAGTCCTGGGCCAGGCGCAGGTGTTCGGGCTGGGAGGACAGGTTCAGGCAGCTGGTCTGGCAACGGTGGCTCATAGCAGGGGCACTTGGGATACAAGCTTGGCTCTGGGGAGCAGGCCTGCCCTTCCCCACTGCACTTCCTCCCGAGTGCTGGCAGCAAGGAGGCCGAGTGATGAGCTGCTAGTTCTGTGATCTTCCCACCCATTTCCAACAGGCCACGCGGTGCCTTTTCGACCAGGAACACTGGTTTTCCCAGCCACCTCTTTGGCTTCTTCTCAGGACTTTGTTGAATCACGGCCATGCTCTTCTTGACTTGACTTTATCCACTTCAGTTTTCTTCCTAAAGGAGATTGTAGTGAATGAAGGAAGGTTTGGGAACACGCTTCCTCAGCTTTTCCGAGTCGATTCTCTCAGTATCTGGGCCCAGTAGCCGTCCCCTCCTGCGGGAACTTCAGGGCCCGTGGGCATTTGGGAGGCTGTGGGGCAGGGTCTGTCCACTCTCCAGGAGCCCTTGTTAAAAACCATTTCGTAGCTGTGAGTAATCAAAACGGGCCTTAGGCCTTCCCCTTACCTTCTTCACTCAGCCAATTAACCAGAGTCGTTAGGAGTTAGCTACTAGGCTTCTCTCCCACTGTGGCCAGCCAGACACAGCTCTGGGGCATCCCAGCTCCTCCCGCTGCCTCCAGGCACAGGTGCCAGGCACTGCTACTGCTGCAGCCTGCCCGCTTTAGGGAGTCTGCTCCCTGCAGGTTAGACTGAGAAACTGCAGGGGATGGAATCCCAGGTTGATAATCTCTGCCTTGAGCTCTTTTGGGAAGAGGGGCTAAGGAGTTAAAGAGAAATCTCCTCTTGCTTGGGCTCAGATAGGCCTGTGCCCAGCCCTGAAGGACTCCAGAGGCCCAAGGGCTGTGGGGCTCCCACTGCTCCCCTCAGCCCTGCCCCTTTGCAGCTTTTCAAAGCACCATGGGTAGAAGCTTGAGGGGGCTTGCCTGGTCCCTTAAGGGTCTCTAAGGCAGGACGAGCCGCTAGGACTCAGGATACCACATTCAGGCCCTCTGAGAGGTGAGAGAGCAGGAGGTCCCAGGGGTGACAGTGGCCAAGAAGTGGATTCTCCAGAGCCTGCTCCAAGGGGTGGTTGGTGCCTTTTCCTCTTTCTGGAAAGGTAATTAGTCCCAGACACACATGTATGCACCTGCAGGGGCTTCCTCCTGGAAGCTCCTAGAAGCCCAGTGGGTGACCTGGCCTCTCCCTCTGCTTACCTTGCAGCCGACAGCTCTGACAACTCTGACCTGGAAGATGACATCATCTTATCTCTGAATGAGTGAGGAGCGTCACCACGGGGAAGATTCTTGGCAGGCGAGAACCTGAGTCAAATGAATTCACACCTTCCCTCCCTTCCCCCCAGGCTATGCCCTTAAGGAACTGCATGGCCTGCACTCGGAGGACTTGGCTTGGAGAGTCCCTGGGCCCCGAGGACCCTTCCAGAGCGAACAGCCACCAAGACCCCAGGGGTCAGGCCTAGTCTGTCCCCTTCTCCTAGGATGGACACACCTTTCCTCTAGGGAAAAACCTGTTTCTGGGGTCATTTCACAATATATTTTCTTTGTATAATGTTCTTTACTTAAAGAACAAGAAATAGTTTTTTATAAAACTTAAAAAGAAAAAAAAAAAGCCAAGCATTTATAATTGAGGGTATGAACTTATATCCACCAGGTCCTTGTCCCATTGCATTTTCTGCGGAAGAAAATGACGTCTAAAGAACAATGCGGAGGCATTTTTACACACGTATTTAAGTGAAAGGAAAATCGTGGTTTCTTAAATTGATAAGGATGAAGACTATTTTATTATAAATATAATATATGATTTTTAACCTGTTTTGTTGCCTCACAAGCTGTCAGGCTGACTTGCTCTCCTCTGGGCCAGGGGTGGGAGGAAGGCTGACTCACCGGCTCTGGGCTGGGCAGCAGGCGGTGTGGATGCTGGTTCGTGGAGTTGAGGGAACTTAGGATATGAGTTCACTCCCTCTAGTTTTCTTTGTCCTTCAGTTTTTCAAAATCTTTTTTTCCTCTTTCCTTTCTCCCCAATGTGGAAATTACAAATCAAAGGCCTTTTTCTTTAATGTAAAGTGTATTTATTTAAAAAAATACAAAATAAACTACAAGCCTGTCTTTGCTTATGGCCTTTCCCTGTCCTTTTACCAAAGTGGGGTCTGTCCCTTTCCTTGCAGCTCTAGCCGTGCAGGAGAGAAGACGCCTTCCGAGAGGCAGTCGGCACGGTGGTAAGGACACTCTGCCCGAAAAGCTCTCTGGGGAGACAAGGGGCTCAGTCCCAGGCCTGCCCCGGCCTGGCCTGCACTCCCCAGAGACGTCTCCGTAAGAGCACCTTGCACGGGGCTGTGGGAGGTGTCAGGACCCTGCCCACGTGGGCACCTGTCTGCCCGGCTCTGAACCAGGAAGGCCGTTCTGGAGCACAGGTGGGGGCTGGAAAGTTAGGGTCCTGGGACGCTTGGGAGGGAGGAGCTGGCAGAGCTAAGGAGTGGCAGCACTTTGGCCATAGCTCAGGGTGATGCTGCTCCCTGGGAGGCAGTGTTGAGAGTGGGAGCAGCTGCAGCTTAGGGGCAGCGGGGGCTTGGCAGGCTGGGCTTGCAGCTACTTCACAGGCTCTTGCAATCGGCCTTGGGTTGAACTGTGCTACCGCCAAGGACATACCAGGTGCTTAACTTTACACTCCCCCCACACCCCCACTCCCACCTCCCCACCATAATAAGAGACCCTGATGCCGTTCTTCCTTCAAGTTTGCCCAAGTAACAGCTTCTTGGTTTCTATCATGTAGGTACGTAGCTCAGAGAAGAGGGGACACATTTGGTTGTGAAGTAAACAAGCAAGACAGACAGCTAAACTCACCAGGGGCTGGTGAAGCCCTGCTGGGCTCGGAGCACCACACAAGCTGTCACACACCGAAGCGCCTGTGTCGCTCAGGTACCTCTTGGTCCTCTAGAGAGCAGAGGTCTCGGCTCCTAAGTTGCGTCATGCCTCAGCTTAAATAGGTCGCTAACACTAACCAGTAGAATAGTTTGCTGGTGCTGAATGGATTAGAAGAAAACGGGTTAAAGTAAAGAAATAGCAAAAGCACTATATTCTTCTAGTCATTATCGGAGCCACCGTTTCCCTGAACTGGCAGGAGCTCTTGGGAGCACCCGGGCTCTCCGCCGAATTCTGGTTGCCTTGACAACACACCCTCAGGGGAGCGCCCCGAGAGGCCTCGGAGGCATCAGCCCGCATCCCCTTGCCACCAGGGCGCAGGCTGAGCCACTTAGGAGGAAACCGGGGGCAAGTGTTGCCTCCTGTTGGTTTTGCCTTTAAGCAGCACCTGAGAGAGGACCGGGGAGGCGCTGGCGCCTGCAGTTGCCTTTCCTCTCGGGCCTGGCCCACCTGAGCCGCCTCACTGGTTCCTGCTGCCGGCCCTCTGACAGGTCACGGCACCTGTTGTGTCTTAAGAGTTGAAGGAAGTGTTGAGAAGAGGGTCTGAGGAGCAGGAGGGAGGTCACACAACAGGCTGTGACTCATCACCAAAACTCTAGTTCTTTTGGGGACCAGAGAACACGTATGTAGCCCTGAAGGGGGACAAGGCGAGGCTGCAGTGTCTCCAGCCAGATCTCCCAGGCGTCTGTCTGGGGAGGGCCGGAGGCGGTGTTCTGGGTCCTGAGCGCCCACTCGGCAGGCACCCCGCTGCTGCTCTGGCTGTGAGCGGCATGTGTGAGACCTGCGGTGGGGCCAGCCCTGCCCTGCCCCTCCCCTCCCCTCGCTCCAGCACAACAGGCAAATAAACATGTTGCCCACTTCTTTCTTGGTGCGAATGTTTTGTTACAAACTTGCTTATTCTCCTGTGAGCTTTCTTTTAAATCTCAAGGTCTCAGACACCTCCTTCACTGTCTTTGTGGACAGGCATCCCCAGGTCCTCTCGACTGTCCCTCAAAACCACCCAGCAGTCCGCTGCACTGCCAAGAGCCAGCTAGGGTAGTGCCAGACCTGCCAGCATGGCCTGGCCATTGGACCCGAAATCCCTGGTCACTTGGGGGCTCGTTTCTCTCACTGGAGCTTCCCTTCTCCCTCATCCCTGACAGTGACCCCTTTGGAACATCCCAACCTTCACACGAACATCTCGTGTTCGGGCTGTGTTCCCCCATGACAACCGCTGTGGGACACTGGCCAGCGCTGGCCATACTCTCATCAGACACGCGTGATGACAACGTGATGCTTCAAGCGCTCTCCCCTCCCAGCTCAAGCGCCTCCACGCCCCTCCAGCCCGGCTTGAAAGGCGCTGAGCTCCAGCACACCCAGCACCCCAAGGCTGACGGTTCCCCACAGAGCACCGATCTCCCAGGGTCTCCACCTCCTCAGTATCCGGGCAAGAGGCCTAGGCTCACTCACCTTGCACCTGGGAGAGTTTGGTCACAGCATCTTCCTCACCTGCTGCCTCCACGGCAGCATCACAAAAATCTTCAGTGTCCCCCACAAAGCTCTAGGGACTCGGCACAGACCTCCACATGACACATCAGTTCTGAGCGACCCGAGGGAGCGCTGGAATTCACAAGTTCAACAAGCAAGCACAGCTGCCTCCCACCCTCCACTCCAGCACATGGCCTCTAGTGTCCCTGGGAGTCTGACAGCTTCGTGTCCAACTGGGTGTCCCTGGGTGGCCGCATCAAGGCGAGAAGGGAGGCTGAACAAGAGGGAGTCCGCACGGATCTGTAGCACCAAGACCCTTGGGCAGCAACATTAAGATCACACAGCTGCTAAAGACCACCTGCTTCCGAAAAGGCCTTGAGACGGGGTGCTCTGTCCAACAGCTACAGCTCAAACTGACGGGCACACCAGCTGTTTAGGGCCGAACAACCCAAACCAAAAACTATCGCAGCTGCTCCCTATGGACCCGAGGCACACCCCCTCCTCTGCATGAGCTCTGCTCAGCTGCCATGGCAGCGTGCAAACTGGAGCTGCCTGCTCTCAGCCAAGATGGAAAACCACTGTGAATCCAGTTCTGACTCAGCCTAAGGAGTTGAGGGGCTGAGAACCACCAACGCAGCAGGACTTGGCGATATACCGGTGCCAGAAAGATGACGTAGGGCATTTTGTGGGAAAGGTCTTCCATCTTTGAGGGGAAAAAAACTTGATTAAACCAGGACTCTGAACAGGATTAAAAATCCATCCTCTGACAAAGGCTTTACTGACAACTTTCCATACAGTGAGTCAAAAAATAAAAAAAATACAGAACACAGCAGACAGTATCTCGTACACCAGAAACCAACATGACAGGAGTCCCTTCTCATCACGGGAAAAAAATCCCCAAAACCTAAGAACTCAGTTTTGGTGGGGACAGGACTTTGGTCTCCCACCTAATGAACCAAAACAACCCAGCAGAAAAGTCAAACCGAGGGGGTAGGACTGAGGCAGCGGATCAGGTTCTAAAATGACTGCTTTTGTGACACAAGTGGCGCTGGGAGGCGTCCGGGCTAGGCAGTGTCCCTCACTATAACGATCACCATGTGCTCCTCCTCCAGCTTGCCCAAGGTCCTCAGTGCCGCCTGGAGGTACTGCTGCGAGAAGTCGCAGGGCGGGAAGGCGTAGAGCATGCCCGTGCTGTCTCTGCCCTTGGACCCACCCACCGGCAGGCTGATCACACCGGCCGCCTGCTTCTGTTTCAAGTAGGAGACCAGGTTCCTGAGAAGCCGCCTCTGTAGGCCTGGCTCCACCAGGGGCATCCCCTCAGTGCCAGGCCCGCTGGGGGCGGCCTGTGTGGCGAGCAGCACTGCGTAGCCATTGGGGCTCCCCTGCTTGATGCGTCGCGTGACCTCGTCGAGCTTGGGCTGGTCCAGTCGGAGGCGCTGGGCAATCTTCAGCTGAGTCAGCTTACTCCCCGAAGAGTGGTCTTTGAGGAGCCCGCTGATCACGCCCTGGTCCCCCTCGAGGACGTGCATAGATGTGGGGAAGCAGCTGTTCTTCAACACCAGCAGCCCGCTCCAGCCCAGCGGCAGCGTCTGCGCGTACTCCGAGAGGTTCTTGAGCTTTTTGGTCTCATGTTTTGGCTCTTCGAGAGGCTTCGGCTCAGCCTCCGTGGTCCGATGGTTGCGCTCGCTCTCACGGGTCTTCTTCCCGTGGGCAGCGTCTGGAGCCTCGTGGTGGTGGTGGTGGCCCCGCTCCTCAGCCCCATGCCTGCTGTTGCTGAGGGAGTTGCTGCTCGACTCCTTGGTCCCCTCGTTGGAGTGGTTTTCCTTGCGGCTGCGCTCAGGGGTGCGGTCGGAGCCTCGGTCGGCCTGCTGCCCACCACCCTTGGTCCTGCTCCGTTCCTCGTAAGGGGAGTGGGTTGTCCTCCCACGGTCACTGGACAGGCTCCTCCGCTTCCGCCTCTCCTCCCAGGGCTTGGGCAGGCCCCGGTCCCCATCTCCTCCCCAGCGCTCCCCGCTGCGGCTGCGCACCGAGCGGCTGTAGCCCTCCAGGCTGTTCCTGCGGTCAGAGCTCTTACCAGGGCTGGTCCAGTCCCCTTCCAAGAAGGTCCGGTCTCGGTCTGAGTACAGGAGGTGTGGGGGGGTCCTGTCCCGCACCCGCAGGTCGGGGTCCAGGTTGCGGTGCCGGGCATACCCATCTGGGAGAAGTTCGTAGTGCACAGGGAGGGGGGAGGGCTGGTACTGCTGGGGATACCGAGTCTCCTCTGCTTTGGCAAAATCCACCCGCAGCCTGCGGTCTGGACCACCCAAGGGAAAGCCCCTCATTTTAGCGCAGGCGGCCTGGGCGGCGTCCAGGCTCTCATACTGGATGTAGGCAAAGCTGTCTCCTTTGACATGATCGATGGTCCGAATGCTCCCAAAGCGGTCAAACTCCCGGGCCAGAGCGGCCAGTGAGGTGTTAGGTCCCAGGCCCCCCACCCAGAGCCGGGTGGTGGGATTGGCCTTGCCGTAGCCGATCTTAATGGGGTTGCGGCCAATCACCCGGCCGGACATGGCCACCTTGGCCCTGTGGGCCATGTCTAGGTTCTGGAACTTGAGGAAGGCGTACGCACCCCCCTGGCCACGGGCGGGCCTCTTGATGACCACCTCCTCGATGATGCCGTACTTTTCGAAGGCCCGTCGCAGCTCCACCTCCGACACGCTGTGGTCCAAGTTCCCGATGAAGAGGTTGCGCGTGGCCCGCTGGTCGTCCTCAGGCATCAGGTCCTCCTCGCACACAGCCGGGTAGCCGTAGGGGCGCCCGCGGTCGTCGTACAGCCCGTAGTAGTCCAGGGCCCGCTCCCGGGACAGTCCC